ATCTCTGATGAAATGTCAAAGACTGCCTTGTGGAGGAACCTTCTGATTACTGCTGAAAACTCTAAAGATAAGGAGTCAAGCTTTCCTTCTAAAAGCAGTGAAAGCTGAAAAGAGAAGAAAACTGACTCAGGGAAAGGTGTTGACAGGGAGACTTGTCTATGACTTGATCTTCAATTTATTTTTTACATATATATGAGAAGAGTGTCATAATTATTAATAAAACTGCTTTGGTCGTGTATTGTAAAAAAAAACAAAACAAAAATAAAAAATAAAATGAGATCCCCATAAGGGGTCTTGAATTCTCTGCTCAAAAACCAATTTCATTTCTATAGCTGCATCTCAACTTTCAGAGGCCATGGGCATCTGCAGGCTAGGGTGTGGCTGAACTCCCTCTGTTGCTGCAGAACAGTGAGAAAAACACTCCTATGTGACAGAGAATGTGAACCACCAAGGCTTTATTTAGCCAGCAGATGATGCTCCAATGCCAGATCTGGGAATACTGACCCTGGGAGGACTTTATATTGACGTTATGCACCTTACAAGTAACCGTGGTAATCACATTACTTCATTTTGAAATTTTAGAAGAATGTCACACAATTGTTAGAATTTTTACATTTCCCAGAAGTTTACATTTCCAGTCAGGTGGACATGTAGTTTAACATTTAACGTACCCCTCAATTTGATTCACCAATTTGTTCCTTTGTTTTATGACTTGTTCTTTCTTTATAGGCTATGGTTAGCTAGAGGATAGGGGCTAGAGGAGCCAGCTCATCTGTTTAAGTGACTTTAAAAATGGTGTTCAGAATAACAAAATGGAATCTCTCCTACCTTATCATCTCAGTCCTCAGCTCTGCTCTCACATCAGCCCAGTGCAGAGCAAAGGCTGGGTCCAGAAGCACCTGCCATGAGATATGGACAGGAGACAGGGCTCAGGGTCTGGCCTTCTTCCCAGCTCCTCACACCTCTGGAACACAGGCCTTGTCCACTGAGTCATCATGTTCTTGTTCACACTGGTATCTCCAGCAAACCACCCTGAGGTGTGAGAGCATCACAGAGACATAATGGTACCTACTTTCCATGCCTTCCATGCTTGCCCCAGAGGAAGGATATTTTCTTCTTCTTAGAGTTCTTCACTTTCAGCCTGTCTCCCTGATGTAGAAGAGTGGTAAACTGGGAAAAAATTGCTCTCTGCTAGGTCTGAGATGTGTGTTTCTTACCTTTCTGATGTTTCTCTTCTTCCTGGATGCTGGTAAGGATGGTTCACCCTGAAGCCAGGGCAGTAATTCAAGGAAAAGCCCCAGTCCACAAGCAAAGGCAAGGATCATATCCATCGCAAAGGTTGTGGATGTGGAGCTCAGCCATGCAGCACTAAGGCTTTTCAGAGTAAGGAGAAGATTCTCCATTGTCTGAATCTCAGCGTTGCTCTCAGGTAACTGATTCCTGAGTGTTCTATCTGGCAATAAGTAGAGGTTCTAGGCCTGCATCACAGAGCTGTGGCCTCCTTATCACAAACAGTTCTTGGGAGTGGGGGAAGAGCAAGAAGTGGATCAGCCATCTCCCTCCCCTCCCCCTCTCCCCAGTACAGTGAATATGTGCCCTTCTAGGACTTCAGGACCCCTCCTTCTGCCTCCACCTGCCCAACCTATCAGAAACAGAGTATAGTCTATTTTCTCTCCTGAAACACAGATACAACCTCACCATTTTATCCAGTTCAGGTCTGGCTTGTGCCAAAACTTCAGTGACAGTTTTATAAATGTATAGCATTTATAATTCTTAAGGTACACAAAGTGTTCTTAAGGACTACCACATGCATATCCACATACATACCCTCATATGCTTTCATAAATTAATCTATTATTTTTCAGAAAATAATTGGGTTTGGTTTTTTGTTTGTTTGTTTTGTTTTGTTTTTTGGCAGAACCAGAGACTGAATTCAGGCCCTTGCACATGCCAGAGAACTACTTATTCCACTGAGCTATCTCCCCAGTCCCACAATATATGATATTTTCAATTTCATCATATTTGAATTAATATCATGAAAAGTCCTAACAAAAGCACAATGAGTTACCATATCACCTTACCTAAAATGGCTATAATTATTTCTTTAAAAATGCAAGGAATTGGGGCCAGGGAGGTGGCTCAGTGGAATAAGTGCTTCCCTGGCAAGCACAAGGGCCTGAGTTCAATCCCCGGTTCCTAAAAAGTAAAAAAAGCAAGGAATAAGCATGCATAGTGGTGTTCATGCCTGCAATCACTGAACTCAGAAAACTCAGGAGGGAGGATTGCTATGACTTAAACATCAGCCTGGGCTACATAAGCAAGTTCAACTTCATGGTGAGGCACTGTCTCAAAGAAGGAAAGAATGAAAAAAATGAGAGAGATGGAGGGAGGGAGGGGGAGGGGAAGAAGGAGGGGAAGAAGTAGGGAAAAAGGGGGAGAGTTGCTATGGTAACAGCCCATGGAGCTGTGCATATTTCTCGTGGGGCCCTTCCAAACTCAGAACCAACAGTGGTTTGTCGTGGATACCTGAGGCATAGACAGCTTCACTCATGAATTTCTACCTTTTGATCCAAAATCCTACTTTTGGGTGTATAGCCAAAGGAGATATAGTGAGCACACTATCCACAATAGCTAAAGTATTAGGTCTACTGGATGCCAGTCAGTTGAGGAATAGAAAAAAAATGAAGGATTTATTCACTATTCTGCCATAAAAATTGAGCCATGGTGTTTGCAGCAAGGATGGGTCTGGGCGTTATTATGTTACATCAAAGAAGGAAGATGCCAAAAGACAAATACTAAGTATTGTCTTTCAGAGAGAAGTTTAAGCTGGGAATATAGTTCAGCTGCACATCACCTTCCTGGCAGGAGCAAGGTCCTGAGTTTGATTTGAGGTAGTAAAAATATGCTCTCTCATAGAAGTTTAAGAAAAATGACCTTGAATGTAGGAGAGTGATTATTATAGGTTGAGAAGGGAGCAGGTCCGTGAAAGGAAAGTGAATGTGATCAGTGAGTGTTGTATATCAGGACATGTACTAAAATGGCACACTGAATTCTGTTAATATGTACAATTAATATTTTTAATAAAAATGATTTGGATTAAAAAAGAGACAAGAACAAAAATTTAATCTTTCTTGAAAGCAAGCAGTAATACTCAAACATATGTCCTATCTTGTATATCTATTAATCTCACCAACAGATTTGACAATAAAAATAGATAATATATCAACCATTGTTAATCAGTTATTCTTGTTTTGAAAATCTGTACCATATGTATTGTTGTACATTCCTCGGCTTCTGTTTTTGAAAACTAAATACATAAATTGCCAGTGACCCAAAGAATAGTACTGATGTTTTCATTATATCTACTATTAAAAATGGAGCACAGCTCAATAGCAAAGAAGGCTCTCATAGGGTATGTACAGCAAAAGTTTCCAAGGTGACCTCGTCCATGGTCTCTCAGGCCCTGATCAGGAGCAGGAGATGTGCATAGCATGGCTGTGAGGACCTGGACAGCTGGAGGAGCTGAAGCAACCTAAGAGGAATGGAGCTTACAGGATAAACCCAGCCTGCATCTTGGAACAGCTTGAGGTTGCAGGTATAGCCCCCAGGTTGAGAAACACTTACACAATAAGTACAGATGGCAACAATACATACACGGCCTTCAGAAACTCGAGCTCTACTCTCAGCAGACCCTGGCAGAACCTCAGCCGATAGTACTGGGGAATGGATATGATGGAGAGACAGCTCATGTGCCTCTGTCAGGCACTTGTCCCATCACAGCAAACGGGACCTCTGCACATACAGAAGACACCCTGGGCACCTTGGAGGGTACTCTTGATCCACAGCAGGTGGGAGGTATATTAGGCAGAGGTGCTGGTGGGATATAGGTGCACCATATGTAGGAAAATTGGGTTATGATTTTCAGCTGCATGTGTGACAACATAGGACACACCATGCTAGGTAACACCATTGATTTTTGATGACTTGCACTGAAGTGACATTATCCACCACACCCAAAGCCCAAGAGCAGCCTCTACCACTTCAACCAGGATCACCAAGCACAGGACTTAACCTGCAACTCAAATCACCAGCTTCGGCTAGATTTCCTTAGAATCTTCTCATTTTAGGCCTGCAGGATATTTCAGTGAATTAATCCCCTGCTTTGGCAAGCTCAGGGTCCAGGATAGCATCCTAGGGACCAAGGTTGCATCCCTGGTCACACATGCTGCATTGGTCCTGCCCCTAGGGCACACTCAGCTGGAGACCAATCTGGGCAAGGTTGTGCACATCGGTAACCTAACCCTGTGGAGGTTGAAAACAGGAGGATGACTGCTAGTCCAAGATATGTATGGAAACTCTGTACCATATTTATAAGTTGAAAAAAAATCTCATTTTTAAATATCAGTTTCATTTTTAATAGATGAGTGCAGTGGAGGATATTTGGGAAAATTAGTAGAATTTCAATGTTCCCAACATGTCTCTAAGTAATAATAAATGATATTCACAGAATGCTATCAAAATACCAAACATTATTGTGAATTTCTTGTATGTAAAATCTGAATTATACTTAATGTTTCAACAATTCCAGGTGAGGAAAGGGAGTTATCTCTATTGTTATTTTGCAAACTGTCAAATTGAGGGTGGAGAAAGCAGTAATTTGCCTGATGTCATGCATTTTAGTAAAAGCTGTAGGAAACAAAAGCATCAGTATGTCTTTAAAATATATGTTGAAATGGCTCTGAGATTTTCTATTTCTAGTTGAAACAATACCGCAAACATCACACACTTACATATAAAGTTCAATTGGTGATTTATAAGCATCTGAGACTTTCTAGATTATGTCTACAAACATGTGTAGGAAGTTGGACATTGTAGAAAAGAGGACACTACCGAATTTGAAGAAATTGCTATTCCAGATTCCCTGAGATGTGCCTTGATTGGGGAACATTGCACAGTTGTTTTTTATTGTTGTTTCTTTTTGTGGCTGTGATGTTACTAGCCAATGTACTTGTCACCATTTGAGATTTCTTAAAAATATTTTTCATCCAGTCCTAGTCAATGACAATAATGAGCTGCAGTGGCTACCCAGTGAGTCACAAGGCCAAGACTCAGAAATTTCCATTTTACATAGTCTGTCTTGATTTTTGTTTTCCTTACCAGGGTGTGAGCTCAGGACCTTGCATTCATCAGGCTGGCAACTATGCAATGAAGCTGTCTCCTCAGGCCTTCATGCTGTCTTCATAGCGTCAGATCTCAAGAATTATGTGGCCAGTGGGTACAAAGGGGTTTCAGGAAATGTGCCGTAAGTCCTTGCCCTTGTCACACAAGGGTTATCCACCCCTCTTGTCTGCTACAGAAGATGTTGATACTGCTTACAGAGCAAAGATCAGCACAGTAGAGCTAAAACTCACCTTCATGCACATATTTACATGATAAGGATCAGAAACTAGTACTGACCTTATGCCTGCAAAATGAATCCCTATGCTGATGTTCCTCACCTGCCTCATGGGATCTTCAGTTACCTGAGTTCTGTGTAATACTTCTTGTTTGGTATTCTTCACAAATGAATCTGTCACCGACTTTACTTCAGCAGATCACTAATAGACCTCGCCTGTATCCCATGTGTGGTGCTCAGAAGTCATGCATTTCCCACCCTGTCACATGTGCAGCTCATCACAAGACATGGTCCATGGAGGAGAGGAGGATCACAGCATGATGAGGGCTATAAAGTATTCACTTGAGGGCTGGGAGTGAACCTTCGGTTGAGGTTATGGTCACATGTACAAAAGATTTAATTTCAGTTTCTTGACATCATAGCTAATAGGAAGTGAAAGTATTGTACAACTTGACAGGAGCATTTTGAGAATTAAAAAAAAATGCATTCAGAACAAAACTTAAGTACTTTTCTACAAAAAACAAAAACCAACAACCAAAAAGCCAATTAGTACGTGGTAGTTTTTATCATTAGTGACTAACTGGAAATTTTTGAAAGGTCTGGAATAAGGGCTGGCCAAGTAGCTCAGTGGATTAAAGCACATGTAAGCAGGCACAGGGGCCAAGGATTTGATCCCTGGGCCTACCATGCCATCCACACCCCCAGGGCACAGAGACATGACAATTGAGAGTGCCTGTGGTGGCAGAGGTCTGTAATCCCAGATCTTGGGAGGCTGTAACAGGCAGAACACTATGAGTCTGATCTAGTAGTGAGACTGATCATCCTGTAGACCTTTCCCTAAAATACAAAAAAAAAATGTGGTACATTGGCCAAGCAATGGCCGTGACTCATCCACATGGCTGCACTGATGAAGGTTCTACAATCTGAGGTACAGGATCTCAGGACAAATCCTGAGGGCATTT